AACTTTTAGATTGCATTGCAAAATTTAGTAGTCTGTGCATAGTTGATCGAGTGCCAGATAAATTCAAAGACTCATCAATCTCTATTCATCTTTTTTGTGATGCTTCATTTTAACACATCGTTTTTGTAGGCTGTTATGGAGGGTTACGAAGTAACAACAATGGAAGATGGTGCGAAAAGAGCCAAGATATTTGTTACTGCCACTGGTTGTGTAGATATCATTTCTGGTGAGCATTTCTCAGAAATGATGGACGATGCGATTGTCTGTAATATTGGCCACTTTGATACTGAAGTCGATGTTAAGTGGCTCAATGAGAATTGTGTCAGTAAAGAATCAATCAAACCTCAAGTTGATCGTTACACATTAAAAAATGGAAGACATATTATTCTACTTGCAGAAGGTCGCCTAGTAAATCTAGGCTGTGCTCATGGTCATCCTAGTTTCGTAATGTCAAACTCTTTTACAAATCAGGTACTAGCACAGATTGAGCTATGGACAAAACCCGATCAGTATCCAGTTGGCGTCCATTTTCTGCCTAAAAAGGTTAGTTCTCTTTTATTTTAGGGACAAAAGTGTTTAGACTGTTTTCACAGTTCGGATATTGTAAATTACATTTTTTAGTCGTAGGGCTTGCTTTATTTGACACGCGAATTAAATTGAAAGTTGGAGTTGCCTTATGTTGACTAAGGTGAAGTTATGATTGTTCAAGTTCCATATTATCTTCGGGAAGACACGTTACTTATTTTAGGTTGAAAACATCGGTACATTAAATTGACCTCATACACATGTATCATTGAGGTGGTGGTTGGAAACAGTCGACAGGAAACCCTGACGGGTTCGACATCGCGCCACACAGCTTCACAGTCAAAGACGTTACCACTGAGCTATCTTGGCCATGACTGAAATGTATTTACAACTAATCGATCACTACCCAGTAATCACTCAATTATGAAGACATTTATCATTCCTTTGAATAATTTTTATGCGTGCGTTATAAGACAACGCATATTAGTTTGTGTTTACATAGATGTGCGCTGGCCGAAGCTGCCTTAATAAATTAGCACGTCAAAATGAAAATAACAAGACTTAGCGAAGGAGATCAGAATAATGTATTAGGAATAGCAGTGAAAAGGAATAAGTATTGATAATATGGTTTGTGCTGCATCTACCTGCATAGCGTAGGTCAATCAAAGGCTAATGCCAGGTCTTTATTTGCCGCTCTTAGCTTTCTTCCAGTCTACTTTATCGACAATTATCGCCTGTCGAGGCACTCCCGAATTAGGCGTACTTAGAGCATGTCCTAACCACCTCAGTTGATGAAGACCCGTGATCTCGTCAACTACCTAGCCATTGTCCCCTATGACCCTTTGCCTAACCGACAGTGTTCACTCAGTCGCTAAAAAGTTTATACACAACTTTTTGTTTCAAATGGTTTATGTAGGGTGCTGCAATACTTGAACTATAAGTTTTTTGTAACTTGATTCTTATCTTTGTCATACTTTCATTTTCACTGCTCATCATATTCTCTATTGATAATTGGATTGTTTTCCTTATAGTTGGATGAAGCTGTTGCTGCCGCTCACTTGGAACAGTTAGGTGTCAAACTAACAAAATTAACCAAAAAGCAAGCTGATTATCTGGGTGTACCAGTTGACGGACCATTTAAGGCGGAACACTATAGATATTAAATTTAAGTTACTTGATTTGTAAAATATGTCAATTTATATGTACCATAATCTAATGAACTGTTATTACTCTAAAATACAGATGCATTGGAAAAAAGTGTTACTTGTCTAAAATAGTAAATTTCCTAAATGCATTAAGACCTTTGTTAATTGTTTTATGTGCATGAAGGTTCACTACGTATGTCAGTAATTTAAGTATCTAACATGTATACACATAGTAACTACTTTGAAGTTTGTTGCACCTATTTTGTTACAAACTCCAAAATGATATCTGTAGTTCCAATACACCTTTTCAATAAGTATTTATCGACTATATTGTATTTACTTTAACTGTAGGATCAATTTTCTGTACTCATTGGTCATCTTTTAACAGGCATTTCGACTTAAATTTATTTTCGGGAATCAAATACTTATCATTACTGAATATGGGACCCAACATATTCTATTGATTGGCTACAGACTGCAATGTTTTTATACATTCAATCTAACCATTGGTAATCAAAAACACAACGGGTAGGTACAGCGATCGCACCCAAGTTTAAATGAATATAATATATAGCTCGCCACGAGTCAGGACACTGATTCAGTAGTAAGACAAAGCTCATATTACGACAACCGACGCCGTTTTGATCTGCCTGAGCTCCTTTGCAATATTTTGATGTTTTTAAAATCAATTTAGGGGTTGTTGAAAATGATATGAACTGCTATTGCTGATTTGATTTGAAGTTGATCCAATTCTATAGTATTGATAGAAAGTTTCTTTGTGTACCTAATATGTTCAAAATATTGCAAAAAGGCTTTTCCAACTACAAAGGAAGGAGGGTAGCTGAAGCTTTCCATATAATGCTTAATCCTACTTCTCTCAATAGAAAGGAAACTTTCACCATACGTCCTACTTGGACCATCTATCCTTGCAATTCACATCACCATATTACAAATTAAACTATCCTTTCTCACCATAAAGGACACACAAATTTACATAAATATCACTCATGAACCACCTTGACAGAAATGACATGACTAACTTGTTCAGACCTGTTTTGATTGATCAAATATTATTCTTATTGTTCTGTTGTACTATTTAAACTTGGATTAATTTGGTTATTTATTCTCTGAAGAAGCGACTTACACTAAGTCACGAAACGTCAGAAAACCTAATTTTCTACTCATTGGGATATTACAAATATATTTATTTATAACAATGCACCCAATGCTCAATTTATTCGAAATTATCAAATCAAACCTTGGTAATGATACATACTACCTTGTTTACTGCTATTACCACTGTAACTGTTGATACAATTACTATTATCACTGCGGGAAAAGAACATGTTTTCCATTATGAACAAAACGGAGAAAAAACGTTCACAGAAAAACCACATCATTGGGTGCAAAAATGTCACACAATGCCGGAAAGCTACGCAAATATGGGACATGTCTCTATTGAACTTCCTCCTAAATCTCCTCAGCATTTATCTGCATACAGTTGGATGGTCAAGTTTTACATTCAGTCATCATTAGACATATGAATACAAACATAGTTCACTGGAATGCATATGCCTGTCAATTGTGGGATGAATGTAATTTGCAGGGAATTTCCATAAACGAATTCCAGGAAGTCAACCATTTCAGGGTAGCGATTCTAAAAAATCTCGACTACTGAGCGTTCATGACACTAATCCCGGACAAACAGAAGCAACAATAGTAGTAACAGTAGTGTTTGAAATAGCAGTTGCACCAATAGCGGAAGTAGTGGTAGTATTATTATTACGAATATTGATGTCAGTCAGTGATTTTTCTCCATGAACGTTTCAGGACAGCTTTGTAAACACAATGTACATCTGGTTGTTCTTAAACGATCAAGACTATTCACCTGTGAACTGTTACAAACGACTCGCTATCTTCATAGTGCTTCTAAATATGGCAGTAAACATGGAGAATTAGGTGGTTTACATTCAACTCTCTTTTGTTCGATTACGCGTAACTGAACTGTCGTGCAGTGTGATCTATCTTTCAGATAGAAGTTGCGAACATCGAATCTTCTATAACTAAAGTCATGATACTCGAAGTAATTAGTCCCATTCATAAATTTGGGTAGTGTAATAAGAAGACGAAGATTATCAGAACTGTGATATATTAGCGCAATACATTTCAAACAATCTGATCACATATATACTTGTTAAGAACATTTATATATAAAAATAAAATGTCAACTAGACTAGAAATGTGGGGTAAGCGGAGACAAAGATAAGAAAGAGAATAATATGGAAAACAATTTGAAGCCTAATCACACTGGATAATAAGCTAACATTGCCAGGATAGGTTTAAGATGAGAAAAAACCGCTTTTGAATACATAACGGATGTTTGAACTCTCGTATGGCTAAGGCTTCAACAAACATTGGTATACACCCTTTTACAACACCACAAAAGCCATGTTAAGTTCAATCCTATGACCTGTTTCAAAAATGTGTCTGGAAACCATTTAGGTACATGTTTCGACACCGTAATTTGGAGATCACGTTCACTCCTCCCCATGTATGTGTGGCCACACATACATTCAAATTGGTAAACAGTGGGATGAGACAATTGTTTTCGTGACTTTTAGGTTTTTGATGAAGCATGGACCTTGTTTTTTCCTTGATAAAGACCTTTGCTACGTAATACGTTATGTTGACAACTGATTTAAGCCTTCGCTTCAATTAAACGCTATTTGGATCACTTCTAAACAAAAAATAATGTAAAGTTTCTTTCTGCGAATGTTACAGTATACTGTGACCTCTCCATCTATTTATGAATTTTAAGGCATAGCCAGTCTCCATTAATGTTTTGTTTAACAAACCGTCGTCAGCAATAGCATCGTTTTTGCAAACACGATTAATTCTATTAAACAGACCGCTCATCGAACCTCGTTTGCATTGCACTGGGCAGTAACTATTGTGACTAATGTAGTGACCCGTCCATGTTGGATTCCTAAGGATGGATCGTTTGTTTAAATCATCTTCTCGTCTGCTTATTAGCATATCTAAGAAGAGAAGCCGATCATTCTTCTCCTTCTCTTCACATGAAAGAATGACGTGGTTTTGGAGTGTTAAGTCTACTCAAATAAACAATCCATATCGTCCTTTCTTTCACAGATAGCTAGAATATCATCCATATACCTCTTACAAAGAGACATGTTTTCGATGAGGTCTTCAGCTAGATTTGCAACATGTATCATGAACACATCTGCTAATAACGGCCTTAACGGACTAACCATAGGAACCCGATCAATCACACGAAAGTATTTACCTTCAAATGTGAACTGGACTTTGTCAGTACATAATAGTGCTAAATTTTTAAAGGAACAGGTAATTATTTTTAAGGCCGTTCAAAAATATTTGGTCACGAAATATTTCAATAGTCATTTCCAAAGGTACATTTGTGAACAGGTAAGTCACGTCAAATGAACACATTGTCTTTCCCTTGATATTATTATTGCCTAGATGATCGACCAATTCAAAAGAATCCTTCACAGAATACTTACATAGACGTGTTTGGATAGGATTCAGTAATTTAGCTAGGTTATGTGGTGATCGACACAGTGATAAAAATAAGCGTAAACGAACGTTTGGTTTGTGAATTTTAGTTAATCCATGTAAATGAAGATACTCAAAACCAATAGGTTTTAGAAATTTTAATTCCGCCCTCCCAATAATATTTATGTGCAGCAGTTTTACTAGATTCGAATTCCTTCTTCCCTCTAGTTTGCTGATACCTCCAAATTCGATATCAGGCATAAATGTACTTTCACCACTGAGGATAGACATCTTACTTTTATATTCACGTTTGTTCATGATAACCACGCCTTGATCTTTTATCAGACTTCAACACGATAACAACAGGGTTTGTTCGTGCTTCTTTTAGTGATTTAAAATGTTGAACAGTTAATATGATTCTCTGCTTTAGTCCACGATTTAGATATTAGTGCGCTATATCCACCAATTTAGCTTTGATTATTTAAAGACGTAAGGGTTAGCATACTCAGTTGGGAATTTCAAATTCGCCATTTATCTCCAATTCAAATATTTGTGTTATAAGGACAGGAAAACTAAAACCAAGAGAAAGTTCCTCCTTTTCATAGGCACACAATGCAATGGAATTAGTGAAGTATTTGGACTGTAACTAATTCTCGCACGGAATTAATTCTCATGACAAACAAAACCGTATTTTCACTCTGCACGCTACTTCATCAGTATCCGACATTGGATGTCGATTAGTTAACTAAGGACAGGTGAAATCCCACATCCACACAAAAACCAACTCATGCATTCTGGTAAACAAATTCATATTTATCACGGATAAATATTCACCAAAGTTCAGTTACTTCAACTGGGATTCGACAAATATTTCACTTTCATTCATATTGTTTGTGGATTTCAAATAGTCTAACGAATTACCTACAATCTTAAATAGCCTACAACTTCCACAAGACCCAATCAAGAAGTCAAATTCGAAGTAGTCACAATGAAACTACATTAGATCATTATAACAGATTAAAGATAACACAAAATATTTAATTGTACAGTACCTATATAGTCCAATTACCACACCTGTCACAGACTGTTTACTTGTCTACGTGTCTTAAGTGTACTCTTAGTTCATTGCAATCGTCAGATCCTCTCAATTGTTCAACATTCTGATTCCCGCTTTCTTTTCTTATATGAAATCAGCATTAACATACAGTCTTCTTTATTGCAGGAAACATTGAAGTTCAAATTGTAACTACTTGTCTGAAGTTCACAATTATCTACACATTTAACATTAGTTAATGATCAAAACTAAAAGTCGAATCACTTACTTCATTTGTTACAGCTGTCATAATGCATATCATCTTCAACAGGAAAGAGACAAAGTGAACGAACACATCGATAGCTTTGTATGACCAGTTCAGCCAGTATGATCGGGGCAAAACGAGAGAACATGTCTTGAACGCGTACTAAATGACTACTCATAATAAGTCAAGTACCACAGATGCTACTACAGTAACTACGAAAATTTACCAAAAAGGATTCTTCAATTAGTGGTAGTCAAATTAACAGCCCTACGAAAACAACGGAAGAAACAGTAACTCAATACACGCGTACCTCTACAGATATGCATCAAAATAACAAAAACAATCTCCACTTGAACTAAAATTAGAAAACATACGCGTATATGAAGAAGTCTACCAGAAAAACTGAATCTTCATTGGAAGGCATACATCCACCATTACCAAAGGTTATCTGACCTAGTACCATTCTTATTACGGACGACTATACTGCATCCTCCAGGTCGAGCGAATTCCCGTCTAGTTGATATTAAATTTAGTTGTAAGAATGTCAGTCATATTCCGACGAGTTCAAAAGCAGTGCATGAACAAACCTGATCATCCTTCTTATCCCAAGATGTTTGTGCAATGTTTACATGTACTCTGGACATATACCAAGCCTATATAATATCAGTCTAGAGCGATGATAATCAGTTTGTAAAATCCCATTTGCCGAGCGGTCTCACCGTATAACGCTCGAAATAAATAATTATATCGATGAACAGTCGTATGGATTGCAGAAAAACCTGTCTTAATGACTGTTATTAACAATTTTGCTATTACTGCCATTACCACTTACTTTTACTACAGTTGCTGTAATTATTACCACTATTCTCCAAAACAACCTACTGATTATCATGAACAAACAAAAGAAAAAACAGTCCCACATGGCAGGTCATCATCGAAGAGAAAAATGTCAAACAATAATGTAAAGCTATTCAAATACCGGGCATGTTTAAAACGTCCAGGCAAAGCAATCAAAAAGTCTGGACGTCATGTCCATTTCGCAAACTAAGAAAGCAATTTCACTGTCAATAATAATAATATTAGCACAAATTATGAGAATTAGTGAAACAAATGCATCTTTCTAACCACAGCCTGTACATATTGATATAAAAAATAAAGATAAACTTCCTAACTATTCACATTTGTGTTTTTGATTGTTTTACCGGTCGATAGTGTATGGAGTATCGTGCGCGTTACTGTAGTGAGGAAGTAGGGAGTCTTGACAATCAGATAGGTTTAACCGAGTCGATAACTCGCTTGAATACAAAGTTGATCGTAATTAAGTGAGTGAATTGCTAGCCGTGAACAATACCTTGGTGATCACGGTGAACGTACACTCGACAGAAGTTGAAATTGTGCCACTTTGTATTGATCACGGCTAACAATACACAATTACGATCAACTTTGTATTCAAGCGAGTTATCGACTCGGTTAAACCTATCTGATTGTCAAGACTCCCTACTTCCTCACTACAGTAACGCGCACGATACTCCATACACTATCGACCGGTAAAACAATCAAAAACACAAATGTGAATAGTTAGGAAGTTTATCTTTATTTTTTATATCAATATGTACAGGCTGTGGTTAGAAAGATGCATTTGTTTCACTAATTCTCATAATTTGTGCTAATATTATTATTATTGACAGTGAAATTGCTTTCTTAGTTTGCGAAATGGACATGACGTCCAGACTTTTTGATTGCTTTGCCTGGACGTTTTAAACATGCCCGGTATTTGAATAGCTTTACATTATTGTTTGACATTTTTCTCTTCGATGATGACCTGCCATGTGGGACTGTTTTTTCTTTTGTTTGTTCATGATAATCAGTAGGTTGTTTTGGAGAATAGTGGTAATAATTACAGCAACTGTAGTAAAAGTAAGTGGTAATGGCAGTAATAGCAAAATTGTTAATAACAGTCATTAAGACAGGTTTTTCTGCAATCCATACGACTGTTCATCGATATAATTATTTATTTCGAGCGTTATACGGTGAGACCGCTCGGCAAATGGGATTTTACAAACTGATTATCATCGCTCTAGACTGATATTATATAGGCTTGGTATATGTCCAGAGTACATGTAAACATTGCACAAACATCTTGGGATAAGAAGGATGATCAGGTTTGTTCATGCACTGCTTTTGAACTCGTCGGAATATGACTGACATTCTTACAACTAAATTTAATATCAACTAGACGGGAATTCGCTCGACCTGGAGGATGCAGTATAGTCGTCCGTAATAAGAATGGTACTAGGTCAGATAACCTTTGGTAATGGTGGATGTATGCTTACCCGTGAATATTCAGTTCCTTATAAACATTCCTATGGCAGACGCCCGCCCGAACGCCTTCAGCTTATTGAATCTACTAAAACAAATGCAGTTTGCATGAGATATCGATGACTTATAGATCTGTTGATTTGTGGGTTTAATTCATCGCTTACTAGCTTTGGCTTATGAGAAGAAGTATGGCGGTTGTATTTGTAACCTGAATACTGACTACTGAGAATGTGACAATGCAATGCTTTATATAACGAGACGTGTCGAACATCCGATTGAGATTGACGGAAAAGATTTATCTCCGATTAAACTAATGACGAGTCAAGTGTCACTTGATATCGATATGGGTAGTCATGCCTCTACAGTAGAAATAGAAGTACAGGATGAAACCGTCATCGTTGATCATAGTCCCGATGTGGCTATCCTGAATTACGAAAATGGACGACAGTGCGGAAACAAATAAGTGAAAGAAAAAAACTAATAGCGTCACCCATCCACCGGCGAATGTGTTAAAGCGTAATCAAATATACTCCTTAAGACAATCCAAGGGTCAGAGATGCAACGTGATCTTCTGTAAAGCAGCGCTTGTATACACGACAATTCCAACATCCGAGTAAGATCTTATATATATCTAAAAGATAAAATTAAAAGGAAGACAGTACCAGTTGAACTAGAAATCTATTAATAAAATAGCGAGGAAAATCTCCGCTTAGGGGCTACTTGAATAGTCAGGCCTTGGAAAAAGATGCTACCAATACCTGTGTGGATAAGCCGTTCACCCTAGGAGTTTTATATGCAAATGCCCTGTAGTTTAAGAAATAAACGCTATAAACTGAGAGTATTCATGGGCAAATTAAGGCCACTCCTTGTAGCTGTGAGGAAGTCTTGACTAGTCCACGAATTCGACATTATTCCAGAATTATCCGGATGCTATGACCTAAGAAGTGATAGATGTATGTATCGGAGTGCGCTCTTAGGATACATTGGTCAGTAGGTACATGGTCATCAATTAAAGAGGCATGGTTTACACTTAAAGGCAATCTCAATTCAGTTACGTTCTTGTTTATACCATGCCTGGTATCACGTAAACCGAACAACTGCCCACCATGGACAACTAAACATGTCAAGAAACTCCTTAGATGTAGGAAAAAGCATTTGAATATGTTCATCGCTACTGGCTTAGAACAGTAACGGCCCAGTTATTGTAAGACTAAGAGTGCTTGTAAAGCATTGATAAGTAAGACCAGACAGTCATATGAAAATCAATTGGTTTGTGACTGCAAAAATAGTCCGAGACGATTATCCTCGTATATGAAGTAGCGAAATCAGAGAAGTGATGGAATCCTACCACATATGCCACCAGAAAATTCGTTAATATTGGCAAGAAATGATGCCCAAAGAGCTGAAGGTTTATTGGAATATTTCGGTAGAATGTTTTCACTCAGCGATAAGGAATGACCAACGATTGATTGTGATTACAGTGGCTTGTCGATGGATCCTGTACCTATTGAGAAAGGTACTTTTTTAAGACTAATTCAACTACTTCAAAGATGATAAGTCCAGTGGTCCCGACGATATTCATTCTAGGACTATGAAGGCCCTGTCGAACGTGCTCGTCGAACCTATAGCCATATTGTCTTGTATGTCTCTGTGGCAGTTCAGACTGCCAAGGTACTGGAAAGACGAAATATTTAGTCCA